AACTCTCCAAAACTTAATTCCATTTTTTTTACTCTTCACCGACAGATTCTACACGAAAGGATTCTCCAATCTTGAATAAAAACTTAAAGTTTTAATTCCACTTTTATCTCTCCACAAATCGACTCTACACGATTAAACTCTCCAAAACTTAATTCCATTTTTTTACTCTTCACCGACTGATTCTACACGAAAGGATTCTTCAATCTAGAATAAAAACAAAAATTTTTTCATCCATTTTTTATCTCTTCAAACATCGATTCTACACGAATAAACTCGCCAAAATCTATTTCAATTTTTTGTACTCTCCACTGACTGATTCTACACGATAGGATTCGCCAATCTTTAATAAAAACTTGAAGTTTTAGTTCCACTTTTTATCTCTCCACAAATCAACTGTACACGAATAAACTCTCCAAAACTTAATTCAATTTTTTTTATTCTCCACTGACTGATTCTACACGAAATGATTCTCGAATCTTGAATAAAAACGAAAATTATTTGATCCATTTTTTATCTCTCCAGAAATCGACTCTACACGAATAAACTCTCCAAAATTTATTTCAATTTTTTTTACTCTCCATTGACTGATTCTACACGAAAGGATTCACCAATCTTGAATAAAAATTTAAAGTTCTAGTTCCAACTTTTTATCTCTCCACAAATCGACTCTACATGAGTAAACTCTCCAAAACTTAATTCAATTTTTTTTATTCTCCACTGACTGATTCTACACAAAAGGATTCTCCAATCTTGAATGAAAACGAAAATTTTTTGATCCACTTTTTATCTCTCCACAAATCGATTCTACACGAATAAACTCTCCAAAACTTAATTCAATTTTTTTTATTTTCCACTGACTGATTCTACACGAGAGGATTCTCCAATCTTGAATAAAAACTTAAAGTTTTAATTACACTTTTATCTCTTTACAAATCGACTCTACACGATTAAACTCTCCAAAACTTAATTCCATTTTTTTTACTCTTCACCGACTGATTCTACACGAAAGGATTCTTCAATCTTGAATAAAAACAAAAATTTTTGCATCCATTTTTTATCTCTTCAAACATCGATTCTACACGAATAAACTCGCCAAAATCTATTTCAATTTTTTTTACTCTCCACTGACTGATTCTACAGGAAATGATTCTCCAATCTTGAATAAAAACTTAAAGTTTTAATTCCACTTTTATCTCTCCACAAATCGACTCTACACGATTAAACTCTCCAAAACTTAATTCCATTTTTTTAACTCTTCACCGACTGATTCTACACGAAATGATTCTCCAATCTTGAATAAAAACGAAAATTATTTGATCCATTTTTTATCTCTCCACAAATCGATTCTACACGAATAAACTCTCCAAAACTTAATTCAATTTTTTTTACTCTCCACTGACTGATTCTACACGAAAGGATTCTCCAATCTTGAATAAAAAAAAAAATTTTTCATCCATTTTTTATCTCTTCAAACATCGATTCTACACGAATAAACTCGCCAAAATGTATTTCAATTTTTTTTACTCTCCACTGACTGATTCTACACGATAGGATTCGCCAATCTTCAATAAAAACTTGAAGTTTTAGTTCCACTTTTTATCTCTCCATAAATCGACTGTACACGAATAAACTCTCCAAGACTTAATTCAATTTTTTTTATTCTCCACTGACTGATTCTACACGAAAGGATTCTCCAATCTTGAATAAAAACTAAAATTTTTTGATCCACTTTTTATCTCTCCACAAATCGACTCTACACGAGCAAACTCTCCAAAATTTATTTGAATTTTTTTTACTTTCCACTGACTGATTCTACACGAAATGATTCTCCAATCTTGAATAAAAACGAAAATTTTTTGATCCACTTTTATCTCTCCACAAATCGACTCTACATGAGTAAACTCTCCAAAATTTATTTCAATTTTTTTTACTCTCCATTGACTGATTCTACACGAAAGGATTCACCAATCTTGAATAAAAATTTAAAGTTCTAGTTCCAACTTTTTATCTCTCCACAAATCGACTCTACATGAGTAAACTCTCCAAAACTTAATTCAATTTTTTTATTCTCCACTGACTGATTCTACATGAAATGATTCTCCAATCTTGAATAAAAACGAAAATTATTTGATCCATTTTTTATCTCTCCACAAATCGATTCTACACGAATAAACTCTCCAAAACTTAATTCCATTTTTTTTACTCTTCACCGACTGATTCTACACGAAAGGATTCTCCAATCTTGAATAAAAACTTAAAGTTTTAATTCCACTTTTATCTCTCCACAAATCGACTCTACACGATTAAACTCTCCAAAACTTAATTCCATTTTTTTTACTCTTCACCGACTGATTCTACACGAAAGGATTCTTCAATCTTGAATAAAAACAAAAATTTTTTCATCCATTTTTTATCTCTTCAAACATCGATTCTACACGAATAAACTCGCCAAAATCTATTTCAATTTTTTGTACTCTCCACTGACTGATTCTACACGATAGGATTCGCCAATCTTTAATAAAAACTTGAAGTTTTAGTTCCACTTTTTATCTCTCCACAAATCAACTGTACACGAATAAACTCTCCAAAACTTAATTCAATTTTTTTTATTCTCCACTGACTGATTCTACACGAAATGATTCTCGAATCTTGAATAAAAACGAAAATTATTTGATCCATTTTTTATCTCTCCACAAATCGATTCTACACGAATAAACTCTCCAAAACTTAATTCAATTTTTTTTACTCTCCACTGACTGATTCTACACGAAAGGATTCTCCAATCTTGAATAAAAACTTAAAGTTTTAATTCCACTTTTATCTCTCCACAAATCGACTCTACACGATTAAACTCTCCAAAACTTAATTCAATTTTTTTTAATTTTCCACTGACTGATTCTACACGAAAGGATTCTCCAATCTTGAATAAAAACTAAAATTTTTTGATCTACTTTTTATCTCTCCACAAATCGACTCTACACGAGCAAACTCTCCAAAATTTACTTGAATTTTTTTTACTTTCCACTGACTGATTCTACACGAAATGATTCTCCAATCTTGAATAAAAACGAAAATTTTTTGATCCATTTTTTATCTCTTCAAACATCGATTCTACACGAATAAACTCTCCAAAACTTAATTCAATTTTTTTTATAATGCACTAACTGATTCTACACGAAAGGATTCTCCAATCTTGAATAAAAACTTAAAGTTTTAATTCTACTTTTATCTCTCCACAAATCGACTCTACACGATTAAACTCTCCAAAACTTAATTCAATTTTTTTTATTCTCCACTGACTGATTCTACACGAAAGGATTCTCCAATCTTGAATAAAAACTAAAATTTTTTGATCCACTTTTTATCTCTCCACAAATCGACTCTACACGAGCAAACTCTCCAAAATTAACTTGAATTTTTTTTACTTTCCACTGACTGATTCTATACGAAATGATTCTCCAATCGTGAATAAAAACGAAAATTTTTTGATACACTTTTTATCACTCCATAAATCGACTCTACACGAATAAACTCTCCAAAATTTATTTCAATTTTTTTTACTCTCCATTGACTGATTCTACACGAAAGGATTCACCAATCTTGAATAAAAATTTAAAGTTCTAGTTCCAACTTTTTTTCTCTCCACAAATCGACTCTACATGAGTAAACTCTCCAAAACTTAATTCAATTTTTTTTATTCTCCACTGACTGATTCTACACAAAAGGATTCTCCAATCTTGAATGAAAACGAAAATTTTTTGATCCACTTTTTATCTCTCCACAAATCGACTCTACACGAGCAAACTCTCCAAAACTTAATTCAATTTTTTTTATAATGCACTAACTGATTCTACACGAAAGGATTCTCCAATCTTGAATAAAAACTTAAAGTTTTAATTCTACTTTTATCTCTCCACAAATCGACTCTACACGATTAAACTCTCCAAAACTTAATTCAATTTTTTTTATTCTCCACTGATTGATTCTACACGAAAGGATTCTCCAATCTTGAATAAAAACTAAAATTTTTTGATCCACTTTTTATCTCTCCACAAATCGACTCTACACGAGCAAACTCTCCAAAATTTACTTGAATTTTTTTTACTTTCCACTGACTGATTCTACACGAAATGATTCTCCAATCTTGAATAAAAACTAAAATTTTGTGATCCTTTTCTTATCTTTTCAAACATCGATTCTACACGAATAAACCTCTCCAAAACCTATTTGAATTTTTTTTACTCTCCATCGACTGATTCTACACGTAAGGATTGGCCAATCTTTAATAAAATCTTAAATTTTTAGTTCCTCTTTTTATCTCTCCAGAAATCGACTACACGAGTAAGCTCTCCAAAACTTAATTCAATTTTTTTTATTCTCCACTGACTGATTCTACACGAAAGGATTCTCCAATCTTGAATAAAAACTAAAATTTTTTGATCCACTTTTTATGTTTTTACACTTTGACTCTACACTCATAAACTCTCCAAAATTTAATTCAAGTATTTTTCTATACCCACAGACTAATTCTATGTAAAGAAACTGTTTAAAATTAAATTAATGTCTTCCTCAACAGTGATCGATTCTTCACGAAGGAATTCCCCAAAATTAAATCAATTTTTTATTTCAACATACCATTTTTTTTATTTATAGTAATTGTGTTATTTAATTAATGAACAGGAAGTTAAACTCAGTTTTTATAAATTATAAATAGTGTTACCTGACCAATTTAATAGTTTGAATAAATGAATTAACGTAACTCAATAAATGAGTAATATAAAATTTTGGAAATTATTAAAATTAATTTTTGGTTGACAGGAATGTATATCATTTTATTTTTATTAATTATTGTAGCTTACAAAAGTAGTGAAGTATTAATTAGGAACAGACGGAAAAATCCATAATAAAAAATGTCTGTAATCACTGAACAAGTAGCCAATATAATTAGTTCTTAAATAATGCTGGGAATCAACAAAATTTAATTCTTTTTTGTTCTACGTCTCCGTTTTGGGGGAGGTGCTTGATCCTGTTTATCTTTTTTTACTTTTTTTATCGATCGTGTTTTTGTCATTTTCCCTTTTTCTGACGGCTTGACGCTGTTGGACTTCGAGAATGGTCGACCTCTTTTTTTCATTTTATTTTCAGGTGTGTTTTTTGCCCCTGCGTTGGACTTAACATTTCCCTTTTTTCGGACTTCTTTCTGTTTTCCTCGTTGGTGCCGCTCGTTCCCGGTGTTGTTTTATCTAAATTAATAATTCAAGTAAGTATTTTAGTTAAATTTTAGTTACTGAATTATTTGTATCTTCACTGTAAAAAGCTGCGATTCAAAATGATACGCATGAGGCTCATTTTGATACGCAACAAACATGGGCTAATGGCGCCACCTAACTGGCTCATTTTTGCTGCGTATCAAAATGAACCGCATGCGGATCATTTTGAGTCACAGGTTTTTACTGTGCGTTTCACACTTTAATATTGTAATTTTTATACATTTATACAAATCACCATACAAATCACCTGAAATTTCTTGGCTGTTCTCCTTCTCACTTTCTACATTTAATTTTGATTCTGCCTCTCTGTTATTATTACACTTATTTATATCGTGATTGTTTTCGTTGTTTTTCTCAATTTCGCTGTTATCGTTATTTTCGCAATGTTTTTGGCTGCTCTCGTTAGTGCCGATTGTCGTTAATCTTGTTTCCTCTGAAATATTTGTCCAAATATGTAAGTATTATTTTTTTAAGAAAGAAATTATAGAACCCCCATTTTATAAAGTTTTATTGATCTAAAAAAAATTTGTTTGGCCAAAAAAATAGACTAATATATTTTTGTGTTTTCCCTTGAATTAAAATTCAAAACAGAATTGTCAGATTGTGTCCAATTTTACAGATAATTTCGAAAAACTACTCAGAAACACGAAATAAAGGCGAAACATATTTTTTTTTGTTTCATATTTTTCTTGGGCAGTTTTTGACATTGTCTCAAAAATTTGAGTCAATTTGAAAATTTTCACAGCAGATTTTAATTCAGTGGAAAAATACATGAAAATATAGTAGTGTGGTATCTCGGCTAAAAAAATTTTTTATGTACTTGTGTTATTATTATTATTGGTTTATTATTATTATTTTGTATTTTATTTTTATTGTTTATATATTATTTTTAATATTATTATTTAAATTTTATTTTAATTTTATTGTTTTTATATTCAGAGGCTATATTTATATAAAATACCTGTTAAATCTAATTCAATGCCAAGAAAACCATCAATTAAGAAAGATGACTCTATAAAAAATTATTATTTTAATGTTAAATTTTGAAATGCACAAATAATTTTTAATTTCCACATGATGTATACATTACCTTTCGAAAGGAACTCCTCTTCAAGGCCATGTTCATTGAACAGAAATTCGTGAAAATCTATAATTTAATCAGATTTTCATTATCTTATTTTAAAAAAATTGCTTAAAAAATTATCGATCTGAATTTTTATTACCTGGTGTAGAAAGATTTGAATTTTGATTCGAGTTATCTGGCTGCGGCGTTACGCCCCGACCCACGTCCCTGCGCAATTTATCAGATACAGTTTCTAGAAAAAATATGGAGTTGTTAATTTATTATCAAGTTGTGCTAATCGGTTTACTTTAGTTCCATTAATGTTTTTTGAGTTTTTATATGCGAATTTTTTATGACCTTCTGTATTTTTGTTCTTTTCCATCATAGAGGTTTCCAACAAAAGTTCACTCTCATTTTCTGAGTCTAAAATTTTTTACATATAATTACATATGTATATAGGTAATAATAATAAAAATATACATATTACTAAATTTAATTTTGTTTTCTTACGTACACATTTGATATAATATATTGTCATAAGCTAAGCGTCGATTAGAATTAATTACAGTTTGTAAGAATCCTTTCAAAGACAATCTAAATTTGAATTTATAAATATTTATTATTTTTTATATAAAAAGTTCTAAAATATTTTAAAAAATTTGTGCGCTAACTATCACTTCTAAATTTAAATCAATAAAAGATTATTAAATTCATTAGTGACACTGCGCTACTAATTCACACTAGTTATAAAAATGTTTCTCTTAGTTAATGAAATAAATAATAAAACTGATAATAAAATACTCCCTAACAACAATGGATGTTCTAGGATATCCTACGAATGTCATATTCATATCCGGAAATTAGAATATCTTTAGGATGTCTTCAGGATATCCACGGATATTCGTGGGACATCCTATGGATATCCTAATTTCCGGGTATCCCTACGACGTCCACAGGATATCCTGAATATCCGGTTGCTCTTAGGGCTCATATAAATCAGTAGCTTAGTTTTAATCGTCATCAATCCGATAATTATTGATTAACAATTTTTTTTACTTGTTTACTGTAAGTTTCTCTTGTTGATTTTTAATGAAATCTTTGTCCATGCTCCAACGCGAATTCCTACTTTGTCTCAATTTTTTTCCCCATTAATTACTCTCTCTAGCTTCTGATCTTCTTTCTTAATCAGCTTATCGAGTACTTGTAAAAATAAAAAATAAAATTACGCTATGTTGTAATCAGGGTTGGTACAAAAATCTGATTTTAAAATTCAATGACATTTTCAGGTTTTCCAGGACTAGTTTCAGAAATTTCAAGGTTAATTTTACACATATATTTTTCGTATAAATATCTAATTATTTTATTAATCATTGACAAATTTCCAATTTATTCTTTATAAATACACAACCAATTAAAATATGAGGGATCATCCATTTTTTATGAATGTAAAACATCTTAAAATATAAAATTCATGGAAACTAACAATTTTTTGTTAATTTTTTTTAAAGTTAATCGGAAGAATAAAACTTAAAAAAATCATTTTGTCAAAATTTTATTTAGATATTTCTAAAAAAAGTGTCATTTTCAATGTTGCATAAGAATTTGATTAAGTTCTAAAATAATAAACGCTTCTTCACGTTCTTAGAATTATTTTATCAGTAAAATGATTTTTAAAATTCTAATAAATTTACTTTATGTATTTTTCTTAAATAAATCCAAATAATATCAAGTTTTATATATTTTACAAAATTGCTATCAACATAAAAAAATTTTTCCAAATTTTTAAATTTTTTAGTATAATTTTGACAACTTGTATTTTTCAAGAAAAAGTTACCTGTTAATGTTTCTCATTCTGTATAAAGAGTACCTTTAAAATATAAACCTAAGAACATGAAAAAACGTTAATTATTTTTGAACTTATTCAAATTTTTATGAAAGATTGAAAATGACAATTGGAATTCGTAAAAAATTCTGACAAAAACAGGAAATTTTTGTGAATTCCTGGAATTTCATTTATTTTACTTTATAAAACTTGAAAAATAAAAAAAAAATTTCTCGGCTATAGTTACAGATATCTTCAATTTATTCAATTGTATTTATCTGAATTATTGGAACTCTTATGTTAGAATAATCGAAAGATATATAACTCTTTTGGGTTGATTAAACGCACACCTCTATTTTAATTTCAATATTACAGAAATATTTAATTTCATTTTTTTAACCTTGAAAAAACCTAGAAAAGTCAGGGAATTTGTTTCTGAAACCTGAGAAATGTTCAATTTTTAACTAATTTGTATCAGTGATTGACTTTTTTCTATTAGTTGGTTAAATTTTACTAATGAATTAATGAAAAAAAAATTTTTATTAATGGATCAAAAAAATGTAATGTAATGATTTCAGAAATGCAAGCCATTTTTTGGATGACCAAATGAAAAATAATTAATAAATATTACTTCTAATATTTTTCTATGAATTTTTTTTCTTTTTTTATGAAAAATAATTTCTAAAAAACTTGGAAAAATATCATTATTTGGCCTGGAAAAGTTAGGGGATTTTCATAATGGAAAAGCGCAACAATCCTGGTTTAGTCAATGTGGTCAATGTTTAAACTCACTGATGTACTTCATGATTGTTGGGTCCGACACTTGCAGGAATGATGCAATTAGTGTATTAAAAAGCGTTTCTGCAAACGGATCCATTCGTTCAGTACAATAAAATGAGTTCACAGATTCTGATAATGGTATCCATTTTCTCCTTAAATACGTCATGTAATTGTTAACAAGTGGAACTTCATGAGCAACTTTGTCAGCTTCACTTTGAATAATCGTTAATCCATCTTGGAAATGTGAGAGTGACGCTAAAGGCAATCCCAGTGACATCCACAATATTTCATTGTAATTGTCAGAAATACCAAGCAATTTCCACTGTTTTAACAATTCCTGTACATATGATTGTTTTGAGGAAATAAATATATTTTTTGTATAATTTTTTTAATAATATCCCAAGAAGGCATTAATTGTGGATGATACATCCCAGATATTTTTTTAACATACCTCCAGAATAAAGATTTCTTTAATTCAAAAAATCAATTTCTTTGACAAATTTTTATTTAATATAAATAAATTTTTTTTCAAACAACTCATCTTTGTTAAAAAAATTATTTTCGTTTCATAGAAATTTGGCCATTTGAGAAGAATACACTTTTTGGTACTTCCAAGTATCCTTGGAAATAAAAATAAATTTTTAGCTGAAATTTTGAGGGATGATAGAGAAGGGTTCAATTAATTGCGCTGTCCTCCTCATTAACTATAATTTTACGGAAAAATAATAAAAATAAAGCAATAAATAGTGATCTAATGTATCTTCGTCACGTGGGACTTTCCCACATGGCCTTAAATTCAAAGAAATGTTTCTTTGACCATATGACAATGCAGAAATTTCTTTGATTTAATACACAAATTTTTTTCCATCAAAAAAACTTTCTTTGAATCGAAGAAATTTTCTTTTAATGAGAGGCACTGGTGAAATTTCAGCCTATTAAAATTATTATTGTTAAAGGGTGTCAATTTTTTTTCTTTCATAATTTAGGACCCAAAATTAATATATTAATATATATTATTAAAATTGAAAAAAAAATTTTTTGGCCATTTTAGAACATTTATTTTTTGAAAAAATTAAAATTTTTTAAAATCCATGCGATTGATTGTTCATAATCATGAAAAAATCGTATAAAAAATTTGACAATGAAAAATAACGAAAATTGTGGAAGGAGTTGTTTTTTAAGGAATTAACACTAAAACTAAAAAAAATTCAAATTGAATATTTTTAGGGGTAATAATTTTTTTGTGACATTTTTTTACAACCTAAAATCGTATTCCACTGTGAAAAAAAAAAAATTTTTAACTATTTTACAATTTTTTTTTTTTTAATTTTTTCATTTTTTAAAAAAATTTACATTTTTTAAAATCCACGCGCCTGATTGTTCAGAATTATGAAAAAAACTTATGCAAAAATCGTCAATAAAAAATAATTAAAATTGTGAGAGATGTTTAAATTTATATTTTTCGAGATTTTTGAAGTTTATTGAAAGAAATTATTAACAAATTTAGTAGTATAGCAACACGGGTTCTAGCGCAGTTACCGACCGAGGTCGGTAAAGTAGGAATCTGTTTTACCGACATTTTTTACCTGCGTTGCAATGTGGTGTAGTTCTAATTTTCACCGCTAGATGGCGCCACTTTATTTTGGCGGCCAATTTAAACTGGCTTGCAATGTGGTAATTTTTTTTCTCACACATTTTTACCTGCGTTGCAATGTGGTGTAGTTCTAATTTTCACCGCTAGATGGCGCCACTTTATTTTGGCGGCCAATTTAAACTGGCTTGCAATGTGGTAATTTTTTTTTCTCACACATTTTTACCTGCGTTGCAATACTGTGTTCTTCTTTACCGATCGTTTTAATTCTCGTTGCCACCGCTAGATGGCGCCACTTTTTTTTGGCGGCCAATTTAAAATTGCTTCGAATTTGGTAATTTTTTTCTCAACCATTTTTACCTGCCTTGCAATATTGTGTTCTTTTATACCGGCCGTCTTAATTCTCATTGTCACCGGTATATGGCACCACTTTATTTTGGCAGCCAATTTAAAATTGCTTGGAATTTGTATAATTTTTAAATATCTCGCAAATTTTACCTACCGAATTATTACCTGTTGCCGTCAATAGATGGCCTCACTTAAAAATTATAAACTTAAAAAGGTGTATTGGAAGTGGGGCGTTTTAAATTTTAGCGCCAATGATGGCGTCTTTATTTAAATTTGCTTGGAAGTAGTTGCACCCTGATCTATCAACACTTCATTTCATTCAGTTAGTTCGGGGAATCCCCAGGCTTTACGCGCCTGTCAGCGGAGCGCGCAGGGATGGGTGTGTTTAGTTGCGCGCGGCTGTTAGGTAGTGGGGAGCGGCTGAGGTGGGGTGCGCCATAGTGGGGAGCGGTTGAGGTGGGGTGCGCCATAGTGGGGAACAGGGTATAAGGCGGGCAGCGCAAGCCACCAGCAGCATTATCTTGTGTTCACAGGTACAGCATAGATCGTCTATAGAGAAGAGTAGCAGTTCAAGAAGATTTTTCCACACTTTTTAATACTTTTATTTCAGTTTTTTTCTTCTGTTTTATTTTGTCTGTTTCAGTTTTTTTTTCTTATTTTTTTTGTTTCAGATTTTCTTCTGTTTCAGGTTTGTTCTTTTGTTTCAGGTTTGTTCTTTTGTTTCAGGTTTGTTCTTTTGTTTTAGGTTTAAGTGTATATATTGTATCTCTTTTTTTCTTAGTCTTAGGGTTTTCGTTATACGTTTTAAGGTTTAGAATTAAGATTCTTCGTTTGTAAAAAAAAATGCCAAAGGTTAATTCTCCAAAAAAATCACGGAAACGAATTCAGGTAAATGAATTCAATGAAGTTTGCCAAGAATGTGACAATTTTATAAAAATCGCGGAAAATCAACTCATCTCCACTATGGGAAAGACTGGAGATGATAGATTTGTTAACGCATTTGAATGGCAAAACAAGTGTCAACGTTATAAAAATGTAATGAGAACATTTTCGCGTAAATTTGATTTTTTCCCACATCAAAAATCGAGATATCTAAATTTATGCCAAAAGCTTGAATACTTGCGTTGCAATTTTGATGCGTTAATGAAGCGTGGTGCAGGAGTGCAAATGAATGACAGAATAAAGTGGGTGAATTTTGATGAGGCTTTTGAGGGTCGATTACAAAGTAGTGCTATCATTAATGTAGATTACAAGGACATTAATGAGTTCCTTGATGATGCTTTTGTTTTATTTCAGATTAATATTGAAAAAGCTTTAAACAAATTTGGTCCAATAAAAGTATATACCGTGTTAGGTGCAAAATTCAAAAAAGATTCAATAGATGGTAGAGAAGAAATATCTGATTTAAAAACATTTACCGCAAAAACTGCTGAAATCTTAAATACAACCCCGTTAGATGACTGGTATAATGTTAATGTTAAACAAGTTACTTTGAGAAGAATTGAAGAGTTCCAAGAGAAAGATTCTAATTGGAAACTTGATTCGATTCAAAGATTAGAGGTTAACATTAACAAGTACAACCCTATGCGCGCAAGTTCTTACATTGACTTACCACTTCCAATAAAACGTAAAAAAGCCTGTATTAATGTGCAAAACATAGATAATCAGTGTTTTAAATGGGCAATACTATCAGCTTTATACCCACCTTTGAGAGATGCTGACCGCGTTTCAAAATACAGACAGTATGAAGAAACGCTTAATTTTACTGGAATTAAATTTCCTGTCGCACTTAAAGATATTTCTAAATTTGAGGCTCTGAACAACATTTCAGTAAATGTATACGGTCTTAGCAAAAGAGATAAAAAGTTTACCGTTTCACCTCTACATCTTTCATCTCAAAAAAAGTTTACTCATGTAAATATGTTACTAATTGAAGACCACTACATAGATGAAAATCTTATTGATGATGAAGAGAGGGAGTCTGATAATGTAACTATCATTTCATTCAACTACCATTATGTCTGGATAAAGGACTTATCGAGACTAGTAAGTTCGGATTTATCAAAGCAGAAAAATAAAAAGTACATATGTGATCGCTGTTTACACTATTTTCTTAATGAACAAAAGCTTACAAGCCATGAAGAAAATTGTAGAAAAATGAACGAGACAAGAATTAGGCTACCGGAAGAAGGAAAAAATTTTGTTGAATTTAAAAATTTCCAGAACAAGGAGCGTGTTCCTTTTATTATTTATGCGGATTGTGAGAGTTTATTAATTCCTGCTGATATACCACAAGAGATCAATAATACTGAGGTTTTCCAAAATCATAAAACGCTCAGTATTGGTTACTACTTGAAGTGTGGTTTTGATGACTCATTGTCCATGTACAAAGCATCTCCAATAGATGAGGAGAATCCTGCAAAGTGGTTTTCAAAGGAGTTAAAGAATTTATCAGATAATCTTAATATGAGATTTAAAAACCCTATTCCAATGAAAGTGCTAAGTCGACAAGAACTGGTTGATTTTAGAAATGTAAATACATGTCATATTTGTAGAAAGAAAATCAAGTATGGGGATGTAAAAGTAAGAGACCACTGTCATCTAACAGGGAAGTATCGTGGGCCCGCGCATCAAGAGTGCAACATTAATTATCACGAATCACAGGTTATACCTGTTGTTTTTCATAACCTGAGTGGTTATGACGCGCATTTCATAATTGAATCTATTGCTACGGAATTTGAAGGCAAAGTTGATCTGCTTCCCATAAATAAAGAGAAGTATATCAGTTTTACAAAAAATATTAAGGATAGTGTTATAAAATTTCGCTTTATTGATTCATTTAAATTTATGGCATCATCATTGGACAAATTAGCGTCCTACCTCGATGAATACAAAATTGTAAGTTCAGTATTTTTTAATTACAGCAACGATAAAATTAAATTGTTAACTCGTAAAGGAGTTTTTCCTTACGAATATATTGATTCACGGGAAAAACTTGAAGAGACTCAATTACCACCAAAAGAAAAATTTTATAGTACGTTAAATGATTCAAATGTTTCCGACGAAGATTATGCACATGCGCAGAAAGTGTGGACCGAATTCAATTGTCAAAATCTCGGCGACTACGTGTATTTGTATATGCAAACAGATGTACTGTTACTTGCAGATATTTTCGAAAATTTCCGAAATCAGTGTTTACTCGCATACGGTCTTGATGCAGCGCATTATTATACAACACCAGGTTTAACATGGGATGCTATGTTAAAGTATACGAATATAAAATTGGAACTCCTCACAGACATTGATATGGTGATGTTTGTTGAACGTGGAATTAGAGGTGGAATAAGTCAATGTACCAATCGGTACGCAAAAGCAAATAATCCTTACATGGAAGAATATAATGAAAATGAGGAAACATCTTACATCGTATACTTTGACGCAAATAACTTGTATGGTTGGGCCATGATTCAATCACTTCCATATGGTGGCTTTGAGTGGGAAGAAAATATTGACAATTCTTTTGATTTTAACGTTCCAGATGATGGGCCAATAGGTTACATTTTGGAAGTCGACTTAGATTATCCGGAAGAACTTCATGAAAAACATAGTGATTTTCCGTTTTGTCCTGAACGCTCAAAGCCACCAGGGTCAAAAGAGCCGAAGCTTCTAACTACCCTTCTACCGAAGCGAAAGCATGTTCTCCATTACCGTGCTTTGAAGCAAGCTGTAGCCAACGGCCTAGTATTAATTCAAATTCATCGCGTTTTAAAATTTCAGCAAGCCATGTGGTTAAAAAATTACATTGATTTTAATACAACTCAACGAACTAATGCTAATAATGAGTTTGAAAAAAACTTGTTTAAATTAATGAACAACGCGGTATTTGGCAAAACAATGGAGAACGTGCGAAAACATGTTGATATAAAACTTGTGACAAAGTGGCAGGGTAGATATGGAGCTGAAGCATTCATTGCGAAACCTAATTTCCACAGCAGGGCCATTTTTAACGAGAACTTGGTTGCTGTGGAGCTTAGAAAAATGGAAGTTTTGATGAACAAACCACTTTATGTTGGTTTGACTGTTTTGGATGTGTCAAAAACTTTAATTTACAACTTTCATTACGATTACATGCTAAAAAAGTATGATGGAAAAAATTTAAAACTGTTGTACACCGACACCGATAGCCTTATTTATGAAATCAAATGCTCTAATATTTATAGAGACATGAAAGAAGATATTCACAAATTCGATACTTCGGATTATCCAGTAAATAATGTGTACAATATTCCGCAAGCCAACAAAAAAATTTTAGGACTTATGAAAGATGAGTGCAGCGGGAAAATTGTAACTGAATTTGTTGGCTTGCGGAGTAAAATGTACAGTGTGCGAGTGGAAGATCAAGATTTTATTAAAAAAGCAAAAGGTGTGAAATCCGCAGTTGTAAAGAAAACTATTACCTTTGATGACTACACGTATTGTTTACGAAATGTTAAAATGCAATCGCGAACTCAATATTGTATCAGATCGAAACTTCACAATGTTCAAACTTTAAAACAAACAAAAGTAGCTTTAAGTCCTTACGATGATAAAAGATTTTTGTTAGATAATAGTACAGATACCCTTGCATGGGGACATTGTAAAATTAGACAAATTAACGATGAAGCTATGGAATTGTAAATAGATGATAATGATGATGATGATGATGATTTGGGAAGATAAAGGTGTTTTAATAAAAGATACTGTACATTTTATATTATGTTTATTTATTAGAACCTTAATCTAGTTACATTTTTAACTTTATTTTAACTATTTTTAACTTTATTTTAACTATTTTTAACTTTTTTTAACTATATTTAACTTTATTTTAACTATATTTAACTTTATTTTAACTATTTTTAACTTATCTTTAACTATTTTTAACTTTTTTTAACTATATTTAACTTTATTTTAACTTATCTTTAACTATTTTTAACTTTATTTTAACTTTATTTTAACTATTTTTATATATATATTACATATCAGATTTTTTTATCCAACTATTGTGTGAGTTGTCAAATCCAAGCCATTTTACATATACATTGTTGCCACGGCTTTTAAGGACTTTCTCGACGAGGTAAACATCTGGATATTTAACTTTTAATAGTTCTTCTTCGTAGAAACCACCTTCGATTGGCTGATTTTCATAATCTGAAAGTTTGTATGTAACTGGTTTTGTTCGTTTTACTTGATCTACAGTGAATATTTCCGTTGTCCAGTTGGGGGTGTATCCTTTTTCAAAGATGTTTTTATGTTTGCTGACTCGAACTCTATCTCCAACTTTAAATTTTTGTCTTCTCATTAGAATTTTTCTTAATTTACGGATACGTCTCATCAGTTCTCTTGTATCTTCTACGGTGACATCTTTAGGTTTCATACCAATCGTACGATGTTTTTTATTATTGTACTTTGATATGAGAATTGGTAAAAGATTAAACCATTTGTAATTGCCTTGTAAGTTGAATTCAGGCCACATCATATTTTTTAGAGTGCGGTTAAACCTTTCAACAATTGATGCTTTTAAATTACTATAAGTCGAATAGAGATTAATATTGAATTCTTGCATTAAACTCTGAAATTCAGAGTTATAAAATTCCTTGCCTCTATCAGTGTGTAAATTTTTTGGAATACGACCTTCTTTTAATATTAATTTCATGGCTGAAGAAATATCTTTTCCATTTTTACTTTTTACAGGTACAGCCCAGGCATATTTGGAAAATATGTCTATTACTGTGAGCATGTATTTGAAACCTTTATTGGAATAGGAGTAAGGTATCATTTCTACCAAATCTGCTTGCCAGGTTTCATCTATGCCACGCATTTGAACTTTACGACGAGGATAATTCCTTCTCGCTTGTTTATGCAGTTCAGTTACAACTGTTAACTTTTTATCATTCATCATTTGGAATAAATGTAGTTTCCTTGATAATAATATTTTGTTGTAATTTAATTTGTTTTAGTTTTTCGTTAACTCTATCTTCAACAACTTGTACTAAAATATTCAAATCATCAATGGCTGATCTTAATGAAGATATAATTTGAAAGATAGTTTTTATCTCGTTTCGGATAATTTGTTGTACAAGTCGTAAATTTACTGCATCATGCAGCTCTTCAGCATCTTGAACGTTACAAAGTCTTTTGCCTTCAATATTGTAATCTCCACTTGGAGTAACTTTAAATCCAATACCAGAAGGTCCAGGCAGTCCACGACTTGCAGAGGCAACACGTCGTGTTAAAGAATGTCCGAACACATCAATGCTCATTGTAATACTAAGCACTTCTTCTTTATGCTCTCTCTTAATATATAATTCGAGCTTCACGAAGTTCTTCGATAATTGACATAATCTCATTATTATGACTTGGATTACCAGCTTGCTGTGATCCTATGAGTAGTCGTAAACGGTCAACGAGTTCATTTGGATCATCCCAATAGATGTAGTCTGGATTAAATTGTCTTTTTGCAATCATAAATTGTGGTAATATATTTTTATGCTTCTTTAAAGAACCACCACCACCACCACTTTTCTTTGGTGTACTTTTGATAAGTTTTGCAATAACATCAGTGTACTTGGAAGTTCTACTTATGTTGACAGATTCACTTGGACTATAATTTTTTCGATGTGCATTCGTAGCAATGAGAATTTCTTTGTAATTTAAAAAATCATCTGAACTTATTAAAGCTTCTTTTGGTTTTTGTTTAAATAATAGTTCGAGTAACCCAGCAGTTTTTAAATAATTTTTCTTTCCAACAAGCTTAATATGTGAACCTTCAAATTCAATAGGTGTATCACCAATCATAAAAGAACCGTTGGCAAGTTTACGTACTCCATAAACCGTATCTAAAAACAGTTTTCTATTTTTATCTAACATAAAAATAAATTTATTTGTAATTTTTTCATAATCTTCTTCTTTTTCAAAGTTATTACTCTTATCAAGAAAAGTTGAATTTAGTAAAGTTTTATCAAATTCTTCATCATCGTCAACAGCAGTTGAAAAAGAGAAATCATTAATATCTTTCTTGAATTTTTCAATTTTAACATTTTTGAAAGGAGTTTCAGTTACATTTGCCAACTTTTGAAGAGGTGTAACTATTGGTTGCAGAGTTTCTTTTAACAATGTCTCTGCAGCCTCTTTACCCATTTTAAGTAAGCGATGTTTTCGTCTAATAGCGTCGCTTGCTTTTGCTATTTGACGCAATGTTTCTTGCTCTTTTCGATACATGTTTTCGTCTTGATAACATAAACTATACTAATTTAAAATGAAATAAAGTCCTTATATTTATAGTGTAATAAAGCAATCAAATCCCTTTCTATATCTTCCCTCATTAAAATTCCTATCTTTATCAATAACGACAAATCCATATTTATCAGATTTCCAACATTCTGAACATAAATCACGAAATTGAGTATAAGACATGTCTGTATTTACATGATCTTCGTAGACATGTTTTAAATTTTTTTCATCTTGTCTAAAAAGCACCAGTAAATTTACATTATCTCGGACTAGATGTTTTGGAATACGAGCATATGTTTGACACAAGTAGAAACTGTCAACATTTACATGTCTACCCATACAAAAGAAAGCTCTAACATTGTCTTGCTTTTCACAAGCAATATCATCAAAGATGAATATTGAGTTTGGTTTAGCATCTTTTGGAGATACTACTTCTTCATGCTCACTAAATGGAAAGTATTCAATTCCATCCACGTCATGAATTACATTTTTCAAAAATTGATATTTTGGCTGCTGCAGAGATTTAGAGTATAGATAAATATTTTCAAAACTTAAACCATTTGGATGTATAATTAAAGAGAGAAGAGCGTTTGTTTTACCACAATTTGAGGGACCACAAAAGACAGCTCGGATGCTATCTGAAAACAAGCTACCATGACGTTGAATTTTTTTCTCACTACTTTCAACGTCAATACTTGTGATTGGGAGTGCTACAGGTTGTTTCGTGAACTGCATCTTGACAGTAACTGCTCTGTAAACTATAAATACTCGGCTTTTATAGTCTTACAGTCAGTTGCATATCAAACTTCATAGAGTGTAGAATGATTTTACATCGAAGTGATAAAAAACATCTTTGTCGTGGTAGAGGATTAGTTAACCGTATTATCAATAGTTTACCTTTTGAATTACATTTACCTGGATACCAATTCTGTGGACCCGGTACAAAGTTGACAAAAAGATTGGCACGTGGTGATAAAGGTGTTAACCCATTAGACGCTGCATGTAAAGCACATGACATTGCATATTCACAAAATAGAGAAAACATTGAAGCAAGAAACGTTGCAGACCAAGAGCTAGCTGAAAAGGCGTGGCAACGTGTTACAGCTAAGGATTCTAGTATCAGTGAAAAGGCAGCAGCTTTAGCGATATCTGGAACGATGAAAGCTAAATCAACGTTAGGTATGGGAATGAAAAGAAAGAAAAAGTCTTTAATTAGGAAGAAAAAAAGGAAAACCATGTGTAAGAAAAAGCGACTAGCATTAAGAAGAGTTGTTGATGCTGCTAGAAAAAGTATGCTACCCGATCATAATTCTGGAGAATCAATTCAAGCTGCTCTGATTGGTGCAAAAGAAGCAATAAAGAATGCTGGTGGTAAATCAAAAATTTTGTCACCGCGAATTCTACCTGTACCTTCTAAAGTTGGTGGTATTTTACCACTAGTTCCAATTTTTGCTGGACTTAGTGCTTTAGGAGCTCTTGCTGGTGGAGCTTCAGGTATAGTGAAAGCTGTAAATAAGGCTAAAACTGCCAAGGAACAACTTGTTGAAGCTCAACGACATAATAAAGTAATGGAAGCAATATCGCTTGGAAAAGGATTACATCTCAAACCCTACCGACAAGGACTTGGTCTTCATATTAAACCATACATTCAGGGGAAAGGATTAAAAAAGAAGAAGAAACCAACATAAAGGAAGAAAAAAAACTTGTATTGAAGCTACCTCACCGTCCTCTAACTGATTTTGATCTGTTGAAATATGCTAAAACTATGAAAATACCACATTTTCGTGGAGTTTTCATGCGAAATGAACTATCTTTAAAAGGACCTTATCGATATGAGTCAGGAATTATTAACTTAGATAACAAAGAAGGCCCAGGAACACATTGGGTGGCATATAAAAAATGTAATAACGAAATAATGTATTTTGATAGTTTTGGCAACCTTCCTCCACCAACAGATCTAATCATATACTTGGGTGATGGTAGCTTAATAAAATATAATCATGAAAGATATCAGAATTATGATACTTATGTGTGTGGACATTTATGTTTAAAATTTTTATGTAAACAACTTAATGTTAAGAGCAGCTTTAGTCTATATAAGAACGTGTAACTTTGTAATCTTTTAGTATATGAACAACTTAATGTTAAGAGCAGCTTTAGTGTATATAAGAACGTGTAACTTTTGTAATCTTTTAGTATATAAACTGACAGCATCATGAGTGATTCGTTTACTTTAACACTAAGTGGAAACAGTTCAGTTCTTGAATCTGAATATTTCCCACCAATAGAACTTAATCCAAATAAAAATTATGTCCTCGGTCTTGTTGAATTACTGACTTTTAATTCTATTCCCAATATTGATCAAGGTAACAATAAATTTTACATTGGTAATCATATAATTGATATACCAACTGGGAGTTATGAAATCACAGATATTGAAACATGTATAAAAAATTCAGTGAAACTTGGAACTGTTATTAGTATAAAACCTAATAACAATACATTGCGCAGTTTAGTTGAATCAAATTTACCAATTGATTTTAAACATAAAGATTCAATTGGTAAATTATTAGGATTTACACCCCGGAAATTATCACCTAATCAAACGCACATCTCTGATTTACCTGTAGCCATTCTCAAGGTAAATTCAGTCAGAGTTGAGTGTAGTATTACATCTGGAGCATATATAAATAATCAAAAAGCCCACACTATCCATGAATTCTTCCCTAGCGTTCCACCAGGATATAAGATTGTGGAAGTGCCAGCACACGTCATTTACCTTCCGATTGTTGTCAAGACAATACATAATATTCAACTCCGCATTGTCGATCAGGACGGTGATTTGATTAATTTTCGAGGAGAAACTATAACTACCCGATTGCACATAAAGTCAATGTAATGGGAATTGTATATAATCAAAAAGTTGGTGGAAACTATAAAAGTCAGCCAACATGCCAAAGACAAATCAGTTTAAATTTGTCTCACAAGGTGTTAACACCTCAGAATCACCTGTTCCTGAAAAAACTAGGTCTAAAAGTTATACCTCAAGGAAAACGCCAAGACAAATAATTTATATATTTTTTGGGTGTTGTTGCAACAAAAATGGACGAAATTCTCAACATTCCAGCAGCAGTGAATTTTGATGAGTCCATAGCTCATTATGAAATTCATGCTCATCAACCGTATGCTTCATCCTCTTTTAACAATAGTGATGAAATTCGAATTGCAGTTCAACATCAAGATTTATGTATTCTACCGAGTAAAAGTTCATTGCACATATTTGGGAAATTGACTAAAAATGATGGTATTGCTGTTACAGAAAACGTGCACTTAAGTAGCAATGCAATATGTTTTTTATTTGATGAAATTCGCTATGAATTAAATGGTATCGAGATTGATCGATGCAAATACGTTGGACATACAACTATTATGAAAAATTTAGTATCTCTGACTCCACCTCAATTAAATCTAATTGAAAATGCAGGGTTTTCAAAAATTACAGCTGATGCAAGAATTTCTTTAGAAAATGGATACTTTGATATTACAATACCACTTGGCATGATTTTTGGTTTTGCTGAGGATTATAAGAAAATTGTTATGAACGCTAAACATGAACTTATTTTAACAAGAGCACGTAATGACACTAATGCTATAATTCAAACAGGTCAAGGAGCTGATGAAGAATTTAAAATTTTCATCAATAAACTAGAATGGATGGTACCATACGTTTTACCAGCTGATAATAATAAAATAAAATTATTGAAATTTATTGAAAAAGATCCTTTAATTTCAATAAGTTTTCGATCATGGGAAATGTACGAGTATCCGTTACTTCCAACAAGTTCAAAAGTCCTATGGCAAATAAAAACATCAACACAATTGGAGAAACCACGATATGTAATTGTAGGATTTCAAACAGCAAGAAAAGATAAACGAAAAAAATATGCCTGTCATTTTGATCATTGTAACATTACAAATGTTAAACTATTTTTAAATTCACAATATTACCCTTATGGAAATTTAAATCTAAACTTTGATCAAAATCAGTATGCTCTGCTTTATGAAATGTATGCTAATTTTCAAAGTTCTTACTATGGAAAAGACTCAGAACCTATTTTAACAAGGGCTATTTTTAAACAACTATTTCCTCTAATTGTTATTGATTGTTCAAAACAAAATGAGTTTCTTAAACAAGCATCAGTAGATGTACGTTTAGAATTTGAATCAGGAAATAATATGCCGGCTGAGACCACTGCATATTGCCTCATTATTCATGACCGCGTTGTACAATATAAACCAATCAGCGGCGTCGTCAAGAAGCTGCTGTAGAGGAGAGGGGATAAAGTGGAGGGAGTATGATTGAGTATAAATGCAGTAGTTTTCAGCCAAAAAATTCATTTCTGGTTCAACATGGAGTTCATTGTAGACGTCCAAGGATTTAAAAGACCCTACAACGATTTTATTTTCAAAGAGTTGGCAATACTTCCTCTTCAACCAGATGCTCAACCACTTGTCTACCTATTTGAATCACCTTGTACGTGGAATTCATTGCCAGGACGCTATAAAAGTGAAAATCGCTGGTTAACACACAACTACCATGGAATCCATTGGGCAGCTGGAGATGTCTCATATGATGAACTTCGTCCTATTCTACGAGAAATACTTCAAGGCGCTAGCGTAATTTACGTTAAAGGATTAGAAAAGAAAACATGGTTAGAGAAATATGTGTTGAATGTACAAAATTTAGAAGATTTCGAATGTCCTTCTTTAAAAAAACTTAAGACTGATTTGTTAACAATATGTACGCATCATACTCTTTATACTGAAAATTGTGCTGTCAGAAATGTTAAAATTCTTCGCGACTGGTTTTTGGATCCTCCAAACAAATATGTAAGTGCTGCTACAAAAGGCTTTGATGAAGTTGATTCTACTAGTTTAAAATGTTTTTACGAAAATTGTGAATCTTTTTTTTGTAAATAGTTTAATATGTTTTTTCAAATAAAATATTAATAATTTCAATTTAATACTTTGTTCGTTAATTTTTAAAACCTTTAATGTTAATGTTTAATGAAAATAAACTTATATAGGGTGAAGAAAATAATTTTAAAACCAATTTACAATTAAATTTTTTTTTTATTTTTAACAGTTATTTTATATGTATACATTTTTGTTTTAACATAACTTTTATTTCTTAAATTAATTTTTTTCTTTTTTTTTCACTTTAATAATTTAAATTCAACGATGTTGTATGGTCCTCCAAGGTACTTCAATTGTAGGTTCTTTAGGGCTGCAGCTTCTTGCATCATTTTTAAAGTGTTAGGCTCATCATCTTCGAAATGTTTAGCGAATCTGGTTGGAAGATATGTGATAAAGTCTGCGTCGAGTTCTACGATGATTCTGGGTCCGTATTTCGTCTGCACCTTTTTGATTTTTGTCACAAAGTATCGGCCATTTGTCACTAATTCCGATAGCGGCTTTGTTGGCAGAAAACCCTCCAATCGTCCAACTGCATTGACTTTTTCTAAATCCATATTTTTTTTTGTTAAAAAAAGATCTGTAACAGAAAAATAGAAAATATTCTGAAACATTTTTAAAAAAAACATAGAACTGAAACATAAAATTAAAAGAAGAAACCTGAAACATAAAAAGGAAACTGAAAAAAAGAAACTTGAAACATTTTTATGTTTCAAGTTCAACAAAGCTAAAACAAAAACCTGAAACAAAAAAAAATTTAAGAATAAACCTGAAACATAAAGATAGAACTGAAACAGAAAATTGAAAGGAGAAATCTGTAACAGAAAAATAAGCTGAAAGAGAATAAAAAGAAAAACTTGTAACTGAAAAAAAATCAAAGGAAACCTGAAACAAAAAAAAAATTTAAGAAAAAACCTGAAACATAAAAATAGAACTGAAACAGAAAATTAAAAGGAGAAATCTGTAACAGAAAAATAAGCTGAAAGAGAATAAAAAGAAAAACTTGTAACTGAAAAAAAATCAAAGGGAACTGAAACAAAAAAAAAATTTAAGAAAAAACCTGAAACATAAAAATAGAACTGAAACAGAAAATTAAAAGGAGAAATCTGTAACAGAAAAATAAGCTGAAAGAAGGAATCCATACTTACTGTTTTAATGTTGCAAATAGTCCCGGAATGCTGAAACATAAATGAGCTGCCTTTCTTTGCACACCGGTTTAAATCACCAAGTCCCCACTTTCTCTTTACCCCCACTTTCTCTTTACCCCACTTTCTCTTTCCCCTCTCACAACATGCGCACGCATCATTTGAATGTGACTAGCATGAGGTAATATTTTAAAAAAATATTTAATGATTTTATTTTGTATAAAAAAATATTTAATTATTAAATTTTTTTTTTTTTAATAAGTATTTTAATCAGAATTGTCATGACGTTAAGGTGAAGATTTGCAGGATGTGTCATCGCTTAGAGTGGGTGGTGTTTCTGGAGGAATTAATTCATGTAATTCCGACATCTATAAAAAAAAAATTATAAGTTTTTAGTAAAACAATTTTATAAAAAGTATGTTAATAGTCATGTTTTATTCCAAGAAGTTTACCTCATCTTCACTAATATTAATTTCTAATACGTCACTGTTCGGACTCTCTGGTAGAATCATGCCGTATTCATCCAATATTTGATTAATATCAGGCAAAGATTCGAACATGTTGTATGCATTCAACATTTGATCAATGTCAGGGACGCATTCTAATAATTCTGACAACTATAAAAGAAAAGCCATAAAATTTTTTTTTTTTATAAGAAAAGAATAATTATAATTTAATCTATTAAAAAAAAGAAAAAAATACCTCTTCTTCACCAAAGTTAATATCAAATATATTAATATCATTATTATTATCATTTGTGTCTTCATCATCGCTGCTAAGAATGATGGTTGAACCCTGACTATCATATATTTCAACCTCATTATCATCGGAGTTCTCATCCGAATCCTCATAAGAATTATAATAATATTCATCAAATATAACATATTCTATGTCCTCTTCCCCGCTACAGAGTTGATTAGAGTTTGGTAAGAAATTTGACATTTTTACTTTGAAACTGCAAAAAAAAAAAAAAAAAAACATGTTTGAAAAAGCGCCTAGATAAGAAAGAGAAAGGAAACTGAAAATAAAATGTACCGTTCTACTACAGTTTCTACTGCTGCTTCTGATGTTGCTGCAACTGAAAAAGAAATAATGACTCTTCGAGCTCGTGCGCTAACTTTTATGCCTCTTCAACGCTCCCCACTACAGTCACATGACATCCAACACCCTCCGCGGCAAACTGAAGAACTAACACTCATTGGCGCGATGTTTTAAAATACGACATAAATTAAATATTTTATTTAAATCAAATTCAATTTTAAGTAAGTTAGGTTACACTTACTTTTACTAGAACAATTTTGTGAATTTCATTTAATTTTAGTTATTTCAGGATAATTTGATATAGCAAAAATTATTTGTACTCACCTTAGATGTGTTTGAAAATTATTTTACCTAATTTACTTTTTCTTTTAATTTAATTTAATGCAATTCGTATTATATAAGAATTTTTACAAAATTAAAACTAAAAAAAGTATATGGAAAACATTTAATTATATGAAGTTCTCGTAAAACACTAAGATGTACGTTAATTTTTTTAAAAAATGTAATTTTTATAGAATAAAATCAAAAAAAGTATATCACAAAAAAAACAAAAAAGTTCTTCACAAAACTATAAAATAGAACGCTTCAAGTAATTTTTCACTGAAAAAAAAAAATTTTTTTTATTAAAAGTCAAGAAATTTTTTTTCAAGACAATAAACACATACAATATAAAAAAAACCAAATAAATTCACTTCGTGCAAGAAATATTTTTTATTTTTAGCAATACTTGCAAAACTTTTTAAAAAATAAACACAAATTATAAAAAATAAAATAAACACAAATTAGAAAAAAATAAAGGCCATACAAAAAAAACTTCACACAAAATAAAAGAAAATTTCACACAAGATAAAAAAAAATAAACACAAATTATAAAAATAAAATAAACACAAATTAGAAAAAAAATAAAGGCCATACAAAAAAAACTTCACACAAAATAAAAGAAAATTTCACACAAGATAAAAACAAAAAAATAAACACAAATTATAAAAATAAAATAAACACACATTTGAAAAAACAAAAGGCCATACAAAAAAAAACTTCACACAAAATAAAAGAAAATTTCCCACAAGATATAAAAAATAAACACAAATTATAAAAAATAAAATAAACACACATTAGAAAAAAAATAAAGGCCATACAAAAAAAAAGAAAAGAAAAAAACTTCACACAAAATAAAAGAAAATTTCACACAAGATAAAAAATTAAACACAAATTATATATAAAAAAATAAAATAAACACATTTGAAAAGAAAACAAAAGGCCATACAAAAAAAAACTTCACACAAAATAAAAGAGAATTTCATACAAGATAAAAAAAAACTTTATACAAAAAAAAAAAAATGAAGGCGATGACAGTAACATCTAATAGATTAACTTTTTCTGGACTTTTTACATGACCTCTTGTCCATTTTTTTCCTTCTTTTTTTATTGCTTAAAGTTGAGCCTGTCGATAAAGATGAATCTGAAGTTGAGCCTGACGATGATGATGAGCCTGACGATGATGATGAGCCTGATGATGAAGATGATCCTGATGATGAAGAGGAGCCTGATGTAGAAGATGAGCTTGACGATGAAAATGGGATTTTTTTCTGATTATCATCATCATCATCTTTATCTTCCTCGTTCACGGCCTCGATATTTTCATTTACCTCAGAGGGTGCATCTGAGTCGACGTTTGCAAAATTCTCTGGGTTCTCTTCCGGTTCCGACTCCTCAAATGAATCTTCTTCGGAAAAACTCAAGTTTTGATTTGGAATTTTAGCACTTTCAGTTGGAATAGATGCTGCCTGCAATGGTAGATCTGCTTCTTCACTGTTTATTGGTGGCTGGATTGCAATGAGGTTTGTAGAGGGCAAAATATCCCATCTAGATACTTTGCACCGTTTTTTTGTTTCTTGTTGTCTTCTCTCTTTTAAAATATTTAATTTTAATTGTACCTTTCGTACTCGTTCCGCAAGGTCAACCTTGACAACGGATTCGTCTTTCTGCTGACACTAGAAATATCAATTAATTTCATTAATTTAAGTGTGTGTAAATCATGGAAAGTTTTATTCTTATTTTCTTATATAGGGCAGAGTCGGGTAGCCCCGTCATCTTAACGTTTTCAGGTTATTATATAAAAATAATATAATATATAAAATATAAAAATAATGGATAAATAAGTCAGCGCAACTTTAGTAAATTGACTTGTTTTGAAGGCAAAATTTTTAGACAAGGTTTTTTACTCTTTTAGGGTGACCATTTGTTCAAATAATTTTAAATTTACATTATGAGAACATCTCAAATAAAAAAAAACAATTTACTATTATCGTAAATATAATAATAATAATAATAATTTATTAATTACCGTGTGTGGCCACGGCTACCCCATGGCCATGGTTACCCAACTCTCCCTTATAGAAGCTAATTATTTTTGCATTTGACTTGTGAAAAAATAGTCACAAAAATATTTATTTAGATTAATATGTAAATAAAAAAATATTTTTAAAAATCGTTTACCTTTGGAATTGAAGTCAAAGAAAAATGTGGCACAGGCAGTGTTATTGTTGTTCTTGTTCTTTGCTTTTTTTTTAATCGAGGATCATTTGGATAAACTAGTTGACATGCTTCACAGGAACAATAAACGCTTTCCTTCGGTGGACCTGGTGCATACGACCTTAAATAAAACGGATCTGTCGTTCGGAAAAAACGACAACTCTCGCAATCGCATCCTTTTCTTTGTTCATCAACCTAGAAAATATTTGTTCTTTTTCTTATAACAATATATATATAAACATAACATATTTATGTACATTAATTTTACACTTACCATCGTTATATCCAGCTGTTTTTCATCAATAGCGGCCATTTGCATTCACGGCCAGAGTAGAGAAGGTTAGTATACTACAGTAAAACCAAGGTTTATGAATTAAGGATGCTTTCAGCAGCTGTCTAACTTCTGATTGGCTGCTCTTATTTTCTCTATTAGAAATAGCCAATCAGCGTGTTTTTAAATAAAATCGATACAAACATTTATATTTAACATTTATATTTAACATTTAATATAAATAGCTTATGATTATTATATGAAAAATTATTATTGTTTAATATACTATAATTATATACTAATACTAATTAGATAAAAATAATTAAAACACATTATTATTATTATTACCTAGTACCACCATGCCTAAGGACTTTAAGTTGTTTTAAAAAATTACTTAACGCCGATCCATTTCAAATTGACTGTGAAAATAAGTGGTGTCATCTAACCGTGGCAGCCAGTAATAATTTGGAGGGAAATTTAAAAATCCCCTATGCCAAGGAACTTTAAATTATTATTTTTAAAATTACAAAACGCCAAGCCATTTTGAATTGGCCGCGAAAATAAAGTGGCCCCTTCTAATAGTGACGCTGGTAATAATTTTATCGTTAAATTTGGTGGGGAATTTAAAAATCCCCTATGCCAAGGCACTTTAATTTCACCGGTAATAAAAATTATACAAATTCCAAGCAATTTTAAATTGGCTGCCAAAATAAAGTGGTGCCATATACCGGTGACAATGAGAATTAAGACGGCCGGTATAAAAGAACACAATATTGCAAGGCAGGTAAAAATGGTTGAGAAAAAAATTACCAAATTCGAAGCAATTTTAAATTGGCCGCCAAAAAAAAGTGGCGCCATCTAGCGGTGGCAACGAGAATTAAAACGATCGGTAAAGAAGAACACAGTATTGCAACGCAGGTAAAAATGTGTGAGAAAAAAAAATTACCACATTGCAAGCCAGTTTAAATTGGCCGCCAAAATAAAGTGGCGCCATCTAGCGGTGAAAATTAGAACTACACCACATTGCAACGCAGGTAAAAAAATGTGTGAGAAAAAAAAATTACCACATTGCAAGCCAGTTTAAATTGGCCGCCAAAATAAAGTGGCGCCATCTAGCGGTGAAAATTAGAACTACACCACATTGCAACGCAGGTAAAAAATGTCGGTAAAACAGATTCCTACTTTACCGACCTCGGTCGGTAACTGCGCTAGAACCCGTGTTGCTATACTACTAAATTTTTATTTTTTAAAAATTTTTTACATTATATTATAATTTTAGATACTTAATATTACCAGAAAAAGAATTAACGACCCTAAACAACAATGATTTCGATGAGTTAAAATTTCATCGGTGCCTCCCCTTAAACTATTAAATTTTTTTGATTCAAAGAAAATTTTATTTTGAATGAAAGAAAACAAGTCAAAGAAATTGATTTCTTTAAATCAAAGAAATATTTTTTCTGGGTGTATTCCCTCAAATAAATCAAAAGATTATATAATCCTTAATTCTCACACCACAGGCAATTTTTTATAATGTCAAATGAAAAGAATAGAGTGGTAATATATTTAAAATTTTAAAAACTATCTGCGATTTTTAAAACCAGATGTGACTTTCTAAAGATATTTTTCTTTATCAGTAGTGAAACCAAAGTGCGTTAAATCTATTTACCAATGTAAAATTGTGACAAGTGCCAATGAAAACTGATTCTGGCATTTTCTGATGCAGAGCAGTCACTGCATTGAGTTTGAAGCCGCATTTAATTTTTTGAAACTTCAGTTGTGGAAAGAGTTCGAGAATTTTGGACCAAACAGCATCATACAAAAGTAAACTCCTATCGGTCATTATAACCCAAATTGCTGAATGAATCTATAAAATTAAATTTGAAAAATAAAATGACTAATTAAAAAAAATAATTTACTTTAAGATAAAAATAGAAAATCATTTACCTGTTCAATTTTTGATTCAACTTTTTGTACGCTTACAACGTAAAGGTGCGAAAATGGTGGTTTCACGGAAGGAAACTACGGTAATAAAATAAACAATTAAAAAGATTTTTAAAAGCATTTTTAATTTATTATTTTTAAAAATAATTGTAAATTTTCTTAAATCCCTACATTTTGATGAAAATTTAAAATTGAAATTTGTTTTGCACCTTGAAAATGTACTTTTTATTAAAACTTTATTTAAGCTAAAAAACAAAAATAAGAAAATCTAAATAGCTAAATTAAAAAAAAATTACCATTGTGACAAATCCAATACAATATTAAAATAAAATGCCGTCTTGATTAATATCAAATTTAAGAAATTTTTTTTTTAATTTACTATTTAAAAAAATTTATTTAAAAAATTTTTATTTCAAAAAGAAAAATTTTTTTTAAATTAAAAAAAAATGTTAATAAAAAAGTCTGAAAAAAATTAATTTCTAATAAAATTTAGAGAAAATTGGTTCTTTTAAATTTTAAAACTTAGAAAAAGGCACAAAAGATTTTAATGTTTCAATATTTTTAAATATAATAATCTTTAATCGTCTTACTGAGACAAAATCTTCAATGCGAGCGTTTAACGTTGGGTTATCGTTTAAAAATTTTGTCATAAAATTGGATATGAATATTATGGCGGCTGATTCGGAATTTTCGATCTCAACAATTCCTCGACATAGTTTATCAAGTTCGGTATTATTCTTTAAACTTTCCGTTAAAGTTGTCATGGATTCTGGATTTCTTGCTGACTTCGGGCATCGTTTATTTCTCATCATCGATTTAACTGACTTCAATGGAATCAACTTTTGTATTTCTTCAGGCTGCCTGTGTGACAAAAATTAAAATATATGAACTTATTTTTATTTATTCATTATAATTATTTATTTTTATTTATTTACTTTTATTATTTTTTAAATGTAGCTTCTGGAAATAAAATAATGATATCGACGATAAATTAAATTTTTATTCTTACCCCTCAAGAACCTTCTTGTGAATGGCATCGAACGAATCGAGAGTGGTTTTTGATAAATGAAGCATTTGGGTTTTTAGTCGCGATATGGTCGCACCCTCAATCATCGGTTGATCACAATGTATTCCGAACAATTCAATTTCTCCACTATCATTTTCTTCAGCGTACGCAACGCAATGAGTAGTAGATCTTGTTGCACATCTGTACGTCACTTTACTTTGGCCTTTTTTATTAGCTTTATCTTTATGATACATATAGCCTTTGGAGAAATATTTGAAAGTGTCTCCACGCTCTCCAGGCAACTTTTCCATAATTACCTTTTCAATAAATTTCCTTCTTTCAAATTAAATTTTTTAGTCTTTAATTATTAATTTTAATTTATCGACCTCAAATTGCATTCGAAAACTTGCACGCCTTGATGTTTATTGATTAATCACTAAGTAAAACAAAAAAAAAGAAAAGCAATAATATGCTTATTTCACATAGCTTGTTGTTTTTTCATTGACAAAATAATATTTGAATATGGTATTTAGTATTCCAAGAATATAATTAAAATGTAATTAATACAAATTTAAAAAGTTGTAATTTTAATATTTTATGGTTCTAACGTAAAATAATAATGTAAAAGCTTTATATAATAATTTCAAGTCTTTTTTGAAAAATATCCACTTTTTTAAGAAAATGGAAAAGGAAGAAGGAGTACGAAAAGGCTCCTCAAAATATTACCACAATGGTTACTATTATCATAAAAAAATGAAAAGTGCTACTGAGAAAAATGAAGATATAGAGTATCGGTGCGTAAATTTTTCTCGTGGCTGTTTGGGAGATGCAAAAGTAAATATAGAGTCTCAAGTTGTTGAAATTACAAAAAATCACAACCATAAAGCGGATTTCAACGCTCAGTCAGTGTCACTTTTGAAAAATAAAATTTTGAAAAAAAGTGAAACAGCGAAAATAAAACCTAAACATTTATTTAATTCAATTGTTTCCAAGTAAGTAATGAGCTAATTCCGACTTTTTTAAAATGATGATGTATTTGTAATAAATGATAGATTTTTTATTTAAAAAAATATTATGTACATGTTAACCGTATTTAATTTTTGAAAAAATTTACTATTTTTCAAGTATGTAAGTTTATTGTGAAATAATATTTTTAATTCCTTTGGGGTTGTCCATAAACCCCGTAGCTCTTTAGGGGAGGGGGGTCAAGTCATTTGCTACGGTAAGACGAAAAAATTGCGCTATTGTAGGGAAAAGTGTTCTTCATGGGGGGAGAGGGGGGTCAAAATTTAAAAAAAAATGTACTACGTGATTTATGGACGGCCCCTTTCGCATGGTGGCCACTAAAAACAATCAAAAAATATCCCTGACAATTCCCTTACCTTCCTTGACTTTCACCGCTAAATAATCAGTAATTATGTAAGTTGGTTTTTTCATTGAACTTTTTAACAAAAAATTTTATTTCAGATTTCCTAAAATTCAATTATTTTGAAATTTTTTAACGAAAATTCTATTCCAAATTAATTGAATTTTTCATGGATTAAAATTTAGAAAAATTTAAATTTTAATTGATTCTTGAATAATTGAATTTTCCAAAGATTAAAATTTGGAATAATTAAAATTGTACTTGATTCTTGAATAATTGAATTTTAAACTGATTATAGTTGAAATAATTGATTTTTTTATTTATTAAAATTTAGAATAATTGAAATTTCACTTGATTCTTGAATAATTGAATTTTAAAGTGATTAAAATTTTGAAACAGTTGAGTTTTTTCATGTATTAAAACTTGGAATAATTAAATTTTTAATTGATAAAAATTTCAGTAAACTGAGCTTTTGTAGCAATAATTTTTTTTCTGTTCTTAAGTATTATTTCAGTTAATATTAATTTTAATGAGAAATATTTCTATATTTTACTATTAATAAAAAATTAACTATTTTTAAAGTTTAGTTAAATTTAAATCTTTTCCTAACGATTCCCCTGACTAATCAAAAATTTTCCTGACTTTTCCTTGATTTCTAGGTTTTTCCTAACCAGTGGCTACCATGCTTTTAAACTGACATCCATATTTTTAAAGTGGGGCAGACAA